GGGAGTTCATAACCCACTTGAATCAAAGTGTGAAATATGATTTGTCAAGAACTATGTAATGTTTTGAACAACCAACAATAAAAATTTTAAAAAAACGTGGAAGATAGAACTTAATCTGAAGACTATTCTTATTTTAAATCTAGGTATGCATGGAGAGGAAAAGAGAGCAGACAAATAGACAAATGGCAAGCATCCATATCTATAAGGTATCTGGCAGACCATTTCTGACACCTCTTAGAATTTAATGTACTATATAGCCTCTTATTTTAGAAAGATTAAATAATTTTACATTGCATATTTTATGTCAAATTATCCAATATAAAATTTTTAAAATCCATCTTTAGTCAGTTTTCACTTATCATATTCATGTCAGATTCAAAGTAACTCAATTAACTGTTGGCTTAGGCCTCTGTACCCCTGCAGTTTTGACAGCACCCATGTATGTGGGGTACAGTAATAAAAGAATCATGAGCAGGGCCAGGTGCAGTGGAGCACACTTGYAATCCCAGCAGCTTGGGAGGCTGAGGCAGGAGGATCTTGAGTTTAAAGTCAGTCTCAGCAAATTAGTGAGGCCCTAAGTAACTCAGCAAGATCCTGTCTCTAAATAAAATATAAAAAAGGGCAGGAGATGTGGCTCAGTGGCTGAGCATCCCAGGGTTCAATCCCCAGTAGCAAAAAAAAAAAAAAAAAGAATCATGAACAGGTCAAAATAATAGGTAAAAACCCAAATATAATACCAAATTTATAAAGGAGAAATGTGGTTATGAACATTCCACATAAAAAGATCTAAATATATCAAAATAGAATATTTGTTACAGAGCAGGGTTGAATCTGACAGTCTAACTTCCTTTATTTCTGAACATCTCAGCTTAGTTCCTCCTCATGGAATCCTGAGCTTAACAATCTAAGTAAACTCAGCCATTTCCAAAAAGTTTATTTCTCTTTTCTTCATGCATTCGAGCACATGCGTGCGCGTRCTGGTGCACACACACTTAGATTTTTTTCATTTTATTTGTCAACAAACCTTTATTTTATTTATTTATATGTGGTGCTGAGAATCAAACCCAGTGCCTCACACATGCTAGGCAGGTGCTCTACCACTGAGCCACAACCCCAGCCCCACATAAACACGTTTATATAGATAAATACACAGTTCTTATCCCCTCTCACCCCTTCTCCCTCCTTTCTCCATGGAGGTGATCTGTGATCTGAATAGAGATTGACTTTTATAGAACCCTGGCATCAGGAATAGTGTACTTTTTCCATAAAACTTCTCTCTCCACCCTGGCCTCCACTGACATGTAATTTGCCTCCTCCTGGTCTCAGTATTCCACAGTGGCATCCATTGTTGAAGTCTGCAATCCTGCTCTAGTTTCGATGGTCAGGTCATGCTCACTGAGCCTTTCTCAGCCTATCCATGGACCCATGAAGCCCAGTTGTTGTCTCTCAACTGCTCTGTACCACATATGTAGGCATTTGGGCACTATTACAGGCTGAATTATGTCCTCTCAAAATTCCCATGTTGAAGTTCATAGTCCAGGACCTCCAAATATGATATTATTTGGAGACAGAGCCATTAAAGAGAAAATTAAGGCAAAATAAGGTTATCTGAATGTGTTCTAATCCCATAGGACTAGCATTCTTAAGAAATTGGGACACCAACAGACACAGAAGAAAAACACAGACAGACATCTACAAGCCAAGAWAAAAGGCCTCAAAAGAAAGCAACCCTGATTACCCCTTGATTTTGGACTTGCCGTCTTCAAAACTAGGCAGAAATAAATCTGTGTTGGGTGTTGTTTAAGCCACCCAATCTGCAGCATGTCATTATAGTAACCCTGAAAAACCAATATAGATACTCTCAGTTTCTCCTCTTATAAAGTGGGGCTTACGGGGATCAGATTGTTGACCTCAAGACCATCAGCCTAGACAACTAGTCACCACCAGTCTACTTCCCAACACCTTGTGAACAGGGACTGCTCTCAGAGGGTTGCATTGACCTTGGATATGCCTGAACAAAGGAAATTAGAGAGTTGTTCTCCTCTTGGAAAGGCTTTAACAAATTTGATCTTTGGTTTCTGTTACTTTCCTGCCCATTCCAACCTGTTTTCACAGTTTTAATCCAGAAAAACAAAATCAGGTCACACTGATCACGGAACTCATAACCGATGGCTCATCCCATTGCTTTCTCTTCCACTGAATATCTTTCTCCTCCCATTGAACAAGTGAACCTTCTTTCTGAATTGCGGGAAAACATGGAGTTAGAGATAGTCTTCCAAACTATAGTTCAAAGACTGGGTCCTTCGTTCTCAAATATCTTCCCTCAAAGCATTCCTCCCCATCCCAAATTTACAAAATTATATTTTTAAAGTTCAATTGCCACAAACTTGTATAATTATATCAAAAGGAATTCTACTATCACATATAGCCAATTAAAAAAAAAGAAACTTCATACAATTTTCTTAAAACCTAAAAAAATTCAAGAATTGGCCTCTTAGAACTTTTTATTCTCTTTGTATTATGGTTTCCATTAAGACAGTGGGCATAGAGAACTACGGCTACATTCTGAAGAATGAAAATAATTCAATTTTTTTATCCATCCATTTATTAAGCCATTTTTTCAACAAATATTTATTGAGGCCCTACCTCTTGCCAGGCACTGCATCTGATACAGGTCTGAACATACTTAAGTCCTGGCCTATAGGAGCCTAATGTTCTAGAGGGACTAGTATGTGCAGAAACTTAAGAGTCTGAGTGGGTAAATGATTCAAATTTCTGACAGAGGAAACTGCCAGTGAAAAGTCCTAAGGCTAAAGGGCGCTTGTGTTCAAGGGACACCACCGAGGCCTTTGTGGTTAAAACAAGTGAGCCATCAGAGGATGTGGCCGAAATGAGACCCCAGAAGGCAGACAGAACACCTAGAACCTAAGAGCATGGGGCTGAGTTGACTTCACTGAATGTGAATTGAGTTTACAGGCTGCTGAAGAATGACAAATGCCACAAGACTGCACTGAAGAAACAGAGAGCAATRGATCTACCAGGGACAAGGAAGGAGAGGAGATTACGTTATAGATTGAAAAGGCAATGCACAATGAATGAGAATTTGGCCAAAATATTACAACATACAAATCATCTGAACGAGATCATGGCTGTCAATAAGTATCATACAGACTTATTCCTGGAAAGAGAGCCTGGGCCAGAAGATGAGGGGGCTGAGACACAGCCTGCCCTGTTTACCACACTGTAGCCTGGCAAAAGGTTGCATCCTACTGAAGGCAAAGCACCTTCTCTAATTCACATCAAGGTGCCACACAGATAAGGGTAGCCCTAGAGGAGCTGTGCACCACTGGTAGAGGACATCTTTCTAGGAACTTTAAGAGCCTTTAAATGCATGCCCTTTACCCCACTAATCCAAGTACTGGGAATTATTTTTCTGGGTKCCTTTGCATGCATGTCACTACTGTATTTGTGCTCTGCTCCCTTTATTTTATATAGTTTCTGGCTATCTAGTTTCAAATTTATCTTTCACCACAAGGCCAGATTTTTCCTAGCCTGACACACAGTATGGTATACATTGGCCTTGGCATTGCATGACCTAAAGAGGCTGATTAGGCATTTAAATTTAGGCAAGAGCACATCTGCATTCAGAAAATAAAAGCAAAAAAAAAAATGGCCAAATAAAGATTGAAAATGCAGAGATTGCAAATAATCATAAAAGGTAAAGCAATCTGGGATGAAACAGTAGGCAGAAAATTAAAAAAAAAAAAATCTAGACTAGAAATTCCGAAGGAAACAACAGGCAAGTGTGCACAAGTGTACGGATGAAATTCTGTTGGACAGGTGGTTCTACTCTATGATCTTTAGTCCATAGTGCATCCTCATGCCAGTACCCTAAGCTTTTAGAGCAACGTGGCATATCCTCTTGCACTCTCCCAAATAAGAAAGAAGAGAACAATAAAGGATAATCCATGGAGTCGTAAAGTCTGTTTCCTCTCACAGTTGAACTCCAGCACCTTGAGAATTGCTCCCTGCAGCTTTGTGCTGTTGGATTGTAAGGTTGTGCTTCACAAGTAAAAGCATAGAGAGTAATGGCCATGTTTCTCAGAACAACCATCTCAGGAATGATGCTGTTCAACCCCCAGGCTGCAAAGGTCCCACCATGCTGTTTTACTGATCCTGAAGAAAGAACCTGGAGGACTCAACTGAGAGGGCTTGCACATTTTATTACTCATGCACTCCTCAGAAGCAGCAGGCCAGGGCAAAATGAAGAGACACACTGCACCTGAAAACAGAGGAAAATATACTCAGGATAGATTGCATGCCAACTGCTCATACAAGTTTCTTCAGATGTTTTATGAGTTCTTGACTTCATAACCAAGGTCCTTCTGCTTTGATCCCCATGCAAAGATTGGAGTAAGGGAACTGACCACTTTTCCTTCTTCTTTCCTCTTCCCTAAGACATCCTTAGGAGCCCTTCATAGTTCACCTTCAGAAACATCAAGCCTTCTAAGAGGTGACTTGTATTCACCCTAACAGATATACACAACTGCTACTTGAAAATAGGGAGATGTTTCTAGGGATGATTTAGAAAGGGGTAAGAGCTGCTGGATAGGTGGACTTGATCTGGATAGAGCCTCAAGATTTTTTAAAAGAATTTTATTCAATTAGGGATGAAAGTAGGCAGGCAGCAAGCTAGGGTTAGCCAAATTCATGCCATATGCCACCAGGGGGAACCCATGTGTGACTTAAACTAACCGGCACCAGCTCTTGAAATAGGAATTAATCACACTTAAAATTTCTGTAAATTGATTATTTAACATTTGCATTTTTACTACTTGTTGTTATCAAATCCTGCATAGCCTAAAAAAAAAAAAATCTGGAGACTTTAGATAGCCCTAAAGCTTATACTTCAACAGTCACAGTAAACATGAATTTGATAGGGGAGCCACTTTCAAATATATTATAAGCCTATTATAACAATTATAAGCCTACCTACCTACTCTGCCTCACCCATTCCTTCCCATGGAAACCACAATCAAGGTGCCTGCCCACAGTTCTGCCCTCTCTCTCTGCCTCATGAAGGATCCTAGTCCTCCTCCTAAGTAGCCCTGAATGGTATGTATGCTACGTTCTCCCCAGGGACTTATGTGTAAAACAAAACTGTAAAACCCCATCATTTCTCTCTCTTGATCTGTGCCTGGCCTCATCAATGTTCAAACAAGATAACATGATCAAAACAGGGAGGGTTCAGTGTCCCTGGGGTTCCATAACTGTGAGGGAGGAATGGTACCTACAGTAGGCTGAGGTTGTATTAAGAAAGACACGTATCAGGGAGTGGTGTGGATGCCAAACTGGTGAGCAACATTCAGTTCAAGCAGCAGAAAACTGAGGCAGACATCAACTTCACATTCCTTAAAATACTGTTAGGAAGACCAAATAAAAGTCTGTCGACTAAAATTAGTGAAAAGAAACAGGTAAATTAAGCAAATTGCCCATTCAGTGAATTGTCTTTCAGCAAATTAACCTAGAATGGACATAATTGGTAATAAAGAAGGAATGGAATTTAACAAAGATTCAGTAATTGTTCCTGGGAGATGACCTAACAATTGCAAATGCTAGATGTCATTGTAAACAAGCCTTTTAAATTTTAGAGATCACTTCTCAAGCAATACAGTGAGTGGTTACAGTGTGGAGATCATAAACACATACCCACAGGACAAATGAAAGTGGAGGGGGGGGATGCCCTAGTGTTACACAAATGGGTTCTAGTGGCCTGGGATAAATTCCCAGTGACAGCACCATGCAGGATTCAAACATTGCCATATCTCAAACAGTGTAGACAGAAGTGCTGGTGAAAGACATCACAAACCCACATTATGAGGATTCAAAGAGTGGCTTCCAGGATGATGAAGACATGGATGTCAACAATGGCTGCAAAGAGGGCAGAAAARAAAGAAAGTGGAAAATAAGCATATTTCTAAATTCACATTAATTTATCTAACGTAAATTTAAACACATAGTACACCCAAATTAAGTATAATGACTAGACTCGAGGGGTTCACCTAGATCACCTTAAGGTTACTTATTCAAGTCTGAAAATAATGATTTCATCTTCCCATTGGAAAATTAGAAGACCTACAATACTTTAGAGACAGGTTGGTTGGAAAGGCCCAGAGTGGACTCAGCCTGAATAGAACACATGGCATGACCTTGAGGGCCAGGACAGCTGCTGGCAAGATCAAGGGTGGGTAAGATTAGAAAAAAGGACGTTCCAATAAAGCAAAAAAAAAGCAAATACAAAATCTTGGGTCAGGAAGAGACCCAGAACCTGGCATTGAAAGCAGGTTGTGGTTGGAGCAGAGTGAAAGAAGGGAAACAGACAGTAAGATGAGGTTGGAGAGCCTTGGGGGGAAACCTAATCATTTTTGTCTTCATCTTAGTGAGAGGAAGCGAACAAACAGGTGTTTATTACAATAGTGTGAACAAGAGATGTTGGCATTCTAGAAGACAATGGCCAGATCCCATATCATGCAGAACCCTGCTGGCCATGGTAAGAATGCAATAGATATCTGTCTTGGTTATTTTGTTTTGCTAAAGTATAATGTGAGCCTTTGAAAGGTCTGAAGTATTGGAGTGAAATGATTTGTCTTGCATTTTGAAAGCAACAATGTAATTGCTGGAATGAATGGCAGAAAGGGGGGGGGGAAGCTATAAAAGGGGGATAATTGGTAGGTTATTGCCTGGTCCTGTGTTATAGGTTGGGGCTTAACCTGTGGTGGTAGTACTGCAAGTGGAGACAAGTAAATGCAGTGAAGACAGGGAGGTTTCAAGGGTGCCTCCTGGGTTCCTGCATTACCAAAATGACTGGAAAGGTCCATCTGTGGGCTGGACAATATTCCAAGGCAAGACAGAACTTAACTGAGGTTGAGTGAGACTTCCTCCCTTTGTTCTTTCAATATGTTATTGGAGCCTTAGGAATAGATTATTTTTTTTTTCCTACAACACTGAATCTGGGTGGTCCCAACTAACACCAAGGACAAGCACCCACCCAACACTTAGCCATATCACTCCCATAGGTGTTGAGAAGACAGCTCCCAACATGGAAGAAACATAAGGTTTGGGGGGAAAGCCCTTTCTCATGAGAGAAAGACGCATCCAGCAAACAAGCAGTTAAGCATTGTGGGCCACCTTCCCTCATGCATGTGCAGTGAGACAGTCAAGGAGGTCACCATGGAGACATCTGGCTGCATCTGCCTGAGTTATTTGTATTGAACAGATTGCTACAGGGTGTTTTTTTTCTGGTCTCATTATGTGTGTGTAATGCCAATTAAATAACAGGAATGAAAATTAAAAAAGAAAATATCTGCCCCTGCTGGGTTTAATCTCATTAGTGCAAAGTCAAATGATTAGTCCTAAAAAGGGCTCCAATGGACAGCAGAGACAGCAGTAAAGTTGCAAGTATCTTCTGCATCACACTGAGAGATGAATCAGAATTGCTCACTCAGTTGAAGTTATCAGAGCCATTCCTATAATAAGACCATGTTATGGCTTAAATAGCAATGAGTTGGACCTAAATAAACAGCAGGGAGACTACCAGGACATATTTCAAACTTCAAATCCATAACATAAACTTACCAAGTCAAACATTTTAAGGACAGGTGTCATGTTCTCCTAGACTGATTTTAAAACCTAGTAGGTGCTCGCTTTACAGTGCTGGATGGCTTCATAATATTGAAGGTTCAGACTTTTTCATATTAATCAAACCACTGCCAGCTATAAATTTGCTACCAGCACTGGGCAGTTCTTGGAGAAAATGCAAAATGGAAAGGTCTGTCCAATTTAAGCCTCGGAGTCCATTTGGAGTGAAGGGCTTGAGCAGCTCCTAAGCACACCACCAGCAGGGGCTAGTCCTTAGCTAAGCCTCAGGTGGAAATCCAATTTTCCCCTCTTTCAGAAATTTTGAGAAATGTCAGCAACAGCCACAGGTCATTCCAAGGAGAAAGCTTGGAATGGTCAACTATGCAAAAATGGCAAAGCCCAAAATGTTTGCCTCAGTGACACACTRACATGAATGCTTTTACTTTCAAAATGCTTTAACCCTGGGCTAGGGATGTGTCTCAAGCGGTAGCACGCTCGCCTGGCATGCGCGCAGCGCTGGGTTCGATCCTCAGCACCACATACAAATAAAGATGTTGTGTCCGCCGAAAACTAAAACAATAAATATTAAACAGATAGTGGGAAAAAATGTTTTAACTCTTTATCCCATTTTACCTTCATCCTGAGGAGCAGAACAGATAGGACTCATGCCAATATTTCAGGTGAAGAAAGTAGGTATAGATAAGGAAGCCAGCTTTCCAGGCCATCAGGAGTTTATTGTCCCAGAGAGCCTTTAGGGGCCAGTTCAAAGAATTATGCACAAATAAACCAAAGATCTAAAAATCTGCACCTGGGAAGAGGCACAGACAATATGACCTTACATGGTACTGAAAAGTAAATTACTTTGCCTACCCACAAAAGAGAATATTGGATATTTTCTCAACTCCTGTGCAGTGAAATATAATCTTCCACTTAAAACAATCTTGAATAGGGATCCWGACTTAGGGTCCAGGTAGGGCCATAACTGAATATTCTGACATATCCTGCAAGTATTCTGAAATAATTTACAACAATGTGATTGCATGTATATATGTGTACATGTGAATTCTTCAAAGAGGATAAATAGTGTTCACCACATTTTCTATAACCTATAAAATGTTAAAAATCCTGGTCTCAACAGATGAAAGGGTCCTACATTTATTTTAAAGGGGTTGAAGAGAAAGCAAGAGCTGTCCACCTGAGTGTGGAATTAGGAATAGTGAAGATAGACGCTGTATGAGGCATCCAGATCCTACTCATGAAAGCTGGAACACAATCAACTCTTCAAAGCAACAGAGATACTGTGAGGCAGGACCCTCTCAAGGGGAAGCAAGGCCCTGGAATGGAAAGATCAGAGGATTTTGGACTCGGATGGAAGTGTGCCAATATTCATTATGTGATCTTAGCCAAGTTACTTAACATTTGTTATGTTCAGCTTCTTCCTCTATAAAATAATATAAGAAAAAAAATGATTGGAAATAATCAGTTCTAGTTCTCAGTTGTTGCAAAGGTTCAATTATGTGGTATAAATCAAGTTCCTGGAAAACAGAAGACCCTCAATAAACATTGATTCACCTTCCATTTTTTGGTAGCCTTGAAGAAGGATAATAATAATAATAATAATAATAGACCCTGCTTGACCTGGAAAAATTTTGAGTCAAGAGAAGAAAGTGAACATGTGGACCTATCAAGAGTACAGAGAGAAGACAAGCAGAGACCTCACAGAATAAACCAAGCAGAGGACGAGGCCTTGGGGATCCCTGGACCAGTCCCAATAGATAGAAGCCCAGACTGCAGGAATCAAACCCAAACCTGAGCAACGCCAGCAACTTTCCCATTTTTCCTCACTGAATCCTTCTCCCACACACCTGTCTTTTCATGCTTGCCTTCTGTGGTTTTCCATTTAATTATAAGGCTACAAATAGTTCACAATTAAACAAGCATATACATTAACAGTAAACAACAAAAGGTAATGTACTTGTGTTAAATAATATCGATATCATGAGCCAATTGTGAGAGCAAAATGAATGAGCCCRTGAAGAGGCTCTTAATACCTCTAAATAGTGTCCCGTGGAATTGTCAGTGCAGTGACTGAAGCACTATCAGAGGACTCCATGCTGCAAAGACCCATGGCAAGCACCTTCCTCCCCATCCCAGCCTTGGCTGGCAGTAACCTAGTACACGGTGTTCAGCATATTCTGCTCTCTGTGTCCTGGATTCTCCGGAACACTTCTGATGTTAAATTACATGGTGTGACAGACCCCTTGAATTCCTTGCCAGAGCGGTAGATCTTTGATGCTAGAGCTCACAGCGTGAGCTGTGAGACTGCCGCTGGGTGGATTTTGGCCAGGGAAGGACAGATGGTGTAGAGGGCCTGACCAAGAGCTTTGGCTTCAGGGCATCTGAAGAGTATAAAGTAAGATAAGCACTGAGATACAGGCAAAAGTGTATCTTCACACATGCTCACAAGTCTGCATCACTGTTGGGAAGATATTTTTTCTTTCTCAAGATGACACATAAATTATAATTTACAATTTTGTTTAATAAAACAAAATGCAGTTTATCTCTCCCTTTTTCCATATTCTGATCTATGGTGATGTGTTTTAACCCATGGCATGTTTGTGTTCTTTTACCTCGTCTGCACATCTGTTTAAATATTCTTAATGGAAACAACCAAATTGGCCCTGAAGCAAATGGGCCCATCAGTAGAAAAATGGATAAACTGTGTTTTATCATACATACCTGGTAATATCTATGGCAATATATAAAATAAATGGATACACTATATGTTATTTCTACATGGAATGTATTAATATATAATACACTTATGAAAAACATAAAATAATAAATATATAAACAAATATATATACCTTCAAAATCTGGTCATCGCCATGTGCAATGGAGCATACCTATAATCCCAGCAACTCCAGAGGCTGAGGCAGGAGAATCACAAATTAAATCACAATTTAATGAGATCCTATCCCAAAAATTTTTTTCAAAAAGTGGGGGGTGAATAAAACTGGTGCTGGGGGATGTGGCTTAGTGGTAAAGCATGCCTGGGTTCAATTTCCAGCACCCGCCCCCATCATTTAATTTCCTGGCTTATTGAGAGGAAAAATAACAACAACAAAAACTAATAGCCAAGGTGTCTAGATTTATTAGAAGCAGCATGAGAGTTACTTTCTCTCCTAAATCCATATTGATGTGTACCTTTCCCAGCTCATACAAATGCATGGACACATGTCTACCCTGGAATTAAAATGACCCCAAGGTAGCCAGCATGAGAAACACTGATCATTTCTCTGGTGACTGTCAGAGAATGAAGACAGCAGAGGGACAGAGCCTAATGGGGTTGGTATTGACTGGAAGAGAGCAAGTGTGAAGGCCCTGGACTCCCCAAGTACTGGAGGGCAGAATGCAGGCAGGGCTGAGCCCATGTCCTCTGGCAGTCACAAAGCTAATAGAAGCCACAGAGCACGGCAGGAATGATGCAGGGCAGCCCCATGCACTGTCTCCACACAGCCTCTGAAAACAGTGTCGCTGAGCACTGTGTGTCTTTTCCTTCCCTCACTCTGCCCTATTCTGGGTCTTCTGACACATTCTGACTTTTTTCTTCAGTGCTGGGGACAGAACCCAMGGCCTTGCCCAGGCTTAGCAAACACACTGACAAAGAGCGACGCTCCAGCCTTCAGGTGAGACTAAGAGAAATTCACCTTCTTCAGAAATTGTACTTTTGTTTTGTTTTTCTACTCAGTACACAGAAAATTCTTGTTGGATTTATTCTGCTGCTTAACATCAGGAAAATTTGGCCCACCATGCTCTTTGATTTGGAATTAGATATTCTGAGGGTAAACTACAGTGGCAATCTAACATTTTCTACCTCCCACACAGCAGGCACTATGGAAATACTTGTAATCCTGATGATATTGATGGTTATTCTTATATCAGAAAAGTCTGACATTAGTTCAGTTATAATCTATGCAAAGCCAGGGAGGATCCTTTCGACTCCATGTTAAGTTTTTTCAACAGAAATTCCCCACTCAGCAAACTCGCCACAGATTTGCTCCAACAAGAAAATGATTGTGTCACATTTGTTCAGCAGTGTGGTAACAGAGAACAATGAGGTCTCTGTATAAAACTTTGGAACAACCCCCCCAGGAAATGCCAGTGCAGCTGGAGGACTCAAACCTCAAATCAACACTTTGAATCCCCTTTGGAAATGTAGAATAAATTATATATGAGTTAAATAAAGGGAAATTTATCCAACATGTAGCATTTGGGGATAAGTAGGTCTTAGGAATTAGCCTAGGCCTTCACAAAAGGAGCCATAGTCACCCCACAGCCACTAAAAATGTTTCTGGGGCTATAAAAATCAAGAAGTCACTTCAAACATGAAGCTTGGTGGCCCTCAGTAGGAAGCAATAGCAAATGGCTAGAGTTTGAAATAATGACAATCACAACCACGAGCATTTTCTAAACAGACACTAAGTCAGACTCAGTACTATTGAASACATATTAAATATGTACTAGATATGTACTGCATATACAACTTGAATTTTATTAACTTATTTAATCACCACAACAATTTTATGAGGTAGATTCTTTTTAAGTCACAGAGAGATTTAGTAAATTGGCCATGACCACACAGCTGGTGTCAGAACCTAGATCTAAAATCAATCTGGCAGTCTGATTCCAGAGGCATGTTTGTATTTATTCTACGATATCTTAGAGTCATGTGATAATAGCAACCTTATATTTAGATCTAATTTAGCATACACAACTCTGTTGATTCCTCTAAAACAATTCTTTCAGAGGATAAACTGCAAGTAACCTTCAAGGAACTGCTTTGTAAAAAGAAATAAGGAAAAAACATGCTATTGCCAAAACATGCTATTTCCTAGTCCTGTCTATTCTTCCCAAGAGTACCATCTTCCTGAAGAGGAACATTGGACATAAACACACATCGGACACCTAAAGCAATGTCCTCAGAATATGGCATTATTAAACAATCTCAAGGTAGGCTAGTACTCAAACATTTAATGTTTCATCACTGGCAACTTTAGCCTCTATCTAACCTTCGTTGAAAGAAATATGAACATTTTCCCCTGGAAGTTCCAAGAATTGTGTTTAACATGTATTGAGTATAGGCCCATTTTATTCTACATTTCTTTTGTCTGCAACAATAATCTTGAAGTATAAAAGGCACGTGCTCACTGGGGAACTGCCCAAAATTAATTCCCAGCGAATTTTGTCAATGACTGTCACTCACTTTCTCACTTAAAGGATTGTTCTGTTGCTGCACAGACATTTCATCAAGTATTGCTGTGAAAGGAGATAGATAACACATTCCTATTTTGCAGGTCTCAAGTCCAAAGGGAAATCAGATCTTGCTTAGTATTGTCGTAGTTGCGTAATTGCCCTGAAAATCCAGCTGTGAGTCATGTTCCTACACGTAGTTACACGTGACCCATGTCTTTTCTGAGCTGAGGRCATAAATATACTGTTCTCTGGCTCAATTACATGACAGCTGCTCAGACTCTGTTGTTCCCACTTCAGGTCATTTGCTTCACAGAGAGCACAATATTTTTGATCAGGTTAAAGCACTCCTAGGTATATTCTTTGCAAGGGCAAGGAACATATAGTTTATGCATTTCATRATGCCATGGAAATAGAATGCATTCAACAAATAATAATTAAATGAGTAAATTATTTAGCTGCAACATGAGTGGGTCAATAAGCTAACATCTCTTCCTAAAAGTCCACGGCACTGCTACGAATCTGCATTATGCTTCAGTGCATCCTTGTGTTTCCCTTCTCTAGTGTTTCTTTGCTAAACACAAGATAAGGGGCACCTAGTGCCTCATTTCAGTTGGCCATATGACAATTGCTTAAAAATATTATCCAGGAATAAAAGAGAGTAGACAGTGATCTGATTATGCAATTTGTTTTATAATAACCACTCTGTGTTCTCTGATTCAGTTATTCTGGCTTTAGCCCTCAAGATGTGAGCTCAACTTCCATCCAAGTCAAACACTCTCAAATTGACCAGGCAAGAACAAGAAATAGCAAGGGAGCCAAATACTCAGCTGTGACTGACAGTCTTGGCTACCAACCTCGGGAAATTTATTCCTGACTGTAAAGGTTTGAAGGTACCCAGGACAGAGTCTGTTGAAGCAGACGGGACACTACAGGAGGGAAGGGCAGACACACAGGAGGGGCAAGGGGCCCATAAGGAGCAGATGGACCTGGACAGTCTCCACCTTCACTGTTTGTTCTACTGAACACAAAGAATTTTGTAGTCTCATCCTAATCACAGTAAATCCAGAGTTTTTGAACATCAAAAAAAGGTATATTAAACTGTTTAGCTGTTTCATTAAAAATAATGGATTGTCCTCAATAATAGGCCCCAGAAAATGGTAGGGATTTTGATTCAATCTAAAAGGATTATTGTCATGGCTCTCRCCCAATTATTAATTGATTTTCTATAAATAAATTCTAGAATTACTATCATTATCCTGAACAACTATTAATTGTAACTACAAACCCAAACACAAATTTTGTCTGTAAAATGTGTAAATACAGAATGTACACTAAGGGAGTTCAGTCTCAGAAACTGTACACTGAAAATCTGATTATCACATATGTTTTCTGGGAGATTACATTTCATATATCCAGTAAATAACTGAGGCAAAATCTTGACTTTTTCTAGAATTTAGAATAAATAAAGGCAAAAGAAAACACTATTAATTTTTGTTCAGGCCCTGCTCCACCCAACAAAATATCAAGCTCATTTAGGAAATACAAAGAGACATGGTCTGATATCATCCCACCATCAATGTGTGGTGCCAGGTAAGATTCAAAAAAAAATCCTTCTAAGTAGAATGAATGAATCGGACATAACTTTCCATGTTCATATATGAATACATGACCAGTTTAACTCCACATCATATATAACCACAAGAATGGGAAGTTATACTCCATGTGTGTATGATATGTCAAAATATATCCTACTGTCAAAAAAAGAACAAATAATTTTTAAATCCTTCTAGACATCACCACATTGTTTTCCAACAACATGCATACCATTTAGAGGTTCTGATAGAGGTACATCTGCCATCAATAAT